ACACTATTTAACAGTTTCACTTATTTGCATGCAGTAACAGGTACACTATTTATACACAAGTTAGATAACTTCCCATTAGACAACAAACTTTATGACAGAACTATAAAGTGTAAAAGAATATGTGTTGATAAAAACTAAACTTTTATGCTACTTTTCTCAAGTTGCTAATCTTTCAATGAAACATCTGAGACTGAAAAGAAAAACAATCAATTGACAATTTTTGAAAGTTGTTACTCAGAAGTAACCGAAGTAGGATAAAACAAAGTATCTCTTTAGCTTATTTTCAGTCAAATCTTATGTAGAATTATTTGTATCATTTAGCAAAAAAAAAATAGCAATAATTATAGAAAGTATTTATATTATTGATAAATTTTCCTTTTCTTCATGGAGATGTGCTAATGCATAGTGCTAAAAAAATCTAAAACATTATTACATACAATCTTCAACTCAAAGGATAGTAAATATAATAATCAACAATCAGTCACAATATGGCTGTTGGAATAACAAAATATGCTCCAGTTGGTCAGCTGTAACTTATGGACTTACAACATTAAAATCAGGGGTTCAGTACCCTGCGGTGGACACAGCAGACAGTTCAATGTTAAATTATGTTATAATTCATATTTTTTAGTTTGTTTGAATAAAATTTTTCAGAGCAGCATATTGCAAAAATCAAGCTACATACTGTCATTGCATATATTCCCATTATAGATATGATTTAAAGTCATAGATCTTCTTCTGATCGCTAAGTTACAAAGAAATACATTGATTACAATATACTTATGTATTTTAAGTATAACCTCGTTCTCGTATAAGTTATTTATTTATAACTGTTTAGTGATATTTGAAATGTGATATATATCGTAGTGACAGATTTTGTTATAACATTGACATCCTGAAGAAAAGGAAAAAGGATAATTGCTAAAGTGAATGATCATCAGAAACTAATGAACTGAGAGATAAACTGTCTTTCTTATAGATTATGTTACTGTTTTGAAAATAAATTGGAATGTGCAACCAGAGTGGTACTTTATGTATACATGGGCTAAAGTGCAACCAGAATGGTACTTCATGTATACACGGGCTAAAGTGAACAGGGAAGAACAGCTGTTAATAATTTTGAACTACTGACTAGAGAGAAAACCAAATAGTATCATCTGCCACTATAAGGGCTTTGCTGAGCTGTAATCACCAAATAAATGGATTTATTTTGAAAATAAATTTTTATAATGTGCCTCCAACTGAAAGTGTGAAGCAAGATCAACCACATCGTTTTGGAATCCTGGACCCTTTGAAATGTAGCCTGACACACTAAACACTAGGTCATGCAGGTCCTGTGAATCATAACAGTATTTAGAAGTTACCAGTCTTTCCTATCTCAAAATGTGTCAAAAGTTTGAAAAGTGCTTGGGTTCCAAATAGGGCTTGAAACATTTACGTATATGCAACCTAAAAGTAAAATAATCTGACTTAGGTATGTATTAAACAAACTTACAGAAATTCAAAAATGCAATGACAGCAACAGAAGGCATGTTCTAATTTTAATGATTACTAAAATAGGACTTGTTTACTGCAAAAGTTGTATTTAATATATTTTTCATTTAATTATTCAGTTCAGTAGGGTTCTCACTAAACACAAGTCTACAGAAATACAGTTAGGTGGTTTATAAAATCATCAAACCACATTCAGAGAAGTAAGTGAACATATGTGAGAAAGTACAGTAGCAGAAAATATTCAGTTCTATATAAAGAGTGAACATATAAAAAGTACGTACATATTCAATAGACAATACTTATTAGAAGTCAAATAGATTAATTTTTCATATTATTAAGCTCATTATAATGTGCAATAATATCAATGACTCTCACCTGTGAAGCAATATTTAAATTTCACAAATATAACAAAAAACATTCTGGGGAAAATATATTCTGTTTACATGTTTTTCCAAGGAGTAATTAAGTATAGTAACAAAAAAAATGGCTCCTTGATTTAAATAGTTATTGTATCTTTATTTTACCAATGTTTACTATGTCAAATAAGAACAAATTATGCTATACTCACTTATAGTATACTTATTATGTGTAAAACTGTTTGAAAATGAGATTTCTTGCAAGACAATTAATGATAGAACAACTTTCAAAACTTCTGATCAAAGCAAACTGATACACTGATAAAAAAATAACACCTCCAGAAAAGCAGTTTATCTTATACCAATCTAACTAGGAGTATATAATATCACAAAACAAAAGAAAACACAAGCTGATAATGATTAAAATACACAGGTTCATCACTTGAGTACCTATGGTATAATAAATAGTTTTGGCCATAATCCCAAGCTTCAGGCCAGACTTGAGTAATGTTGTAAGTCATATTTTAACTAGAGAATGGAATTATTAACATGCTTTGGCTTTCTTTAAAACCCGTAACATAGACCAAAGAAAACTTCAAGCTTTCACAAAGACTACTGTGGTTAAGAATATCATTTATTAAATAATTAATTATGGTACTGAGGTCAACATGTTTGAGAAAAGAAATCTTAAATATTATGTCTCTTCACTACATTGTTGCCCAATGAAGGCTCCTGTAAGAGGGCTGAAAACTCACAGTTAAAGTAAAATGGTTAACATAGAGAACAGTCTGTGTATATCTTTTTTACATATTAATTTACCTTACAGCTGAGCTGTATCAGGGTTATTTAAGATGTTATTTTGTTTGTTAAAGTTTAAACATGCCAAAAACTGGCAAAGCATTAGAAACCAATGCATCTAACATTTGTGATAAACATGCAGTTTACATAAGTTTTGTACAAATGTTAGGTATAATAATGCTTGGAGACGGCTTGAATGGGTAATGAAGAAAAACTTTAATATAAGTCTAACATAACAACAAATGTACAGCATTTCGACAAGGTTTTGTCATGATTAAACATTGTATATTTGCTGTTATGCTAAACTTATATTAAAGTTTTTCTTCATTACCCATTCAAGCTGTCTCCAACCATTATTAGTCACAAAGTGGGTTCCTCGTCATCGAAAATGTTAGGTATATATGTTGTTTCTTAGATCCTGTTTGGTTAATCATCTTTAAGGATAATCATTTAGTAAAGTTATCAGCTTCATGCACAAGGTACTGTTATTCAGTTTCTGTTATTTTTGTGCCTAATGCACTAGTTATATGAGGTTTACTATGAATCAGGTTATATAGCTGCCTTTAGGATTTGAAGCAGACTTTGAGTAAGCTAGTATGTTGATAACTGGGATTACTTTATGGTTATTTATGTAGCCATTACTAGTATCCTGTTATATAGTGGAGTTCCTCCCTTTGTACTACTGAGTAAGTGCACACTTGGAGGCATTCATCACACTATACCACATCCAGCCAAAGTGTATGACTATATAAGTACAGTCAAAACTAGTCTTTTGGGAGATGCTCTTTTGACTATCAAATACATATATTTGAAAATATTTGGCAGAAGAGAAACATAATAAATTAGATGTAGCAGCCTAAAGCAGTGTAAAAGTCCTGAAGATAGCCTAGTAGTTGACCAAATGTAGGACGCTCTTCTGGCACAGCTGTCCAGCAAAAAGCCATCAACTTGTACCTATAGCAAAAAACAAATATTACAAATAGCCTGTTCATTATGTATCAAGTAGCTTTTAGAGAAGTTTTTATACTGAATACTGGCACTACTACAAAAAATTCATCTTTTGCAAGAAATTGACAAAATAATTATCTACATTTTTTATTCATATCACATCCTTATCTTCAACAATTATTTCTAAATAACCAGTGTCAATAACATGCATGCTTTAATACAATACATAAATATCATGAGGAGATAGTTTGATCTTACACACCATATGTATATATTATATTCAAATTGAATGCTGAAACCCAAATTATTTTATTGTTTTTTACATTACATTCTAGCAAGTTATTGCAAAATATATTAAATAAATCTATAGTAACTCACAATTTATCTGGACAGTTGACTGGTTGAGACAGTCTGTAGCCATCTCGGAGAGATGCTAACATTTCAAAAGGATCTATTTCAACATAAGGTTGCTGACCTAGTGTCATTAACTCCCAAAGAGTAACTCCAAATGACCACTGTAAAAACAAAACAAAAATAACTTTGATAATTCTATTTGTGAAATCACAACTATTGGACATCTTTAAATTTGGAACTTGGAAATATATTATAATTCTTTGTATAACTCCTCATTCTATGACTAATAAAAGTGCACTGGGAAAGTGGAGGGAAGGGTGAGAAAGTGTACAGAGGTGTGTATCTGTCAGAAATACATTTTCAGGTAAGGAAAATTTAAACTTTTGAGATGATCACTCACCTCAGTACACAGAATAACAAAAATCTCACACTTTTTGTTGTTTGATGCTAGATACCAGAGTTGGGATAGGAGAGACCTGATTGGCCTCTGTACTGGAACTAATAATCGGATAATTCATTCAGGAAACCAGTTTGCCAATCAGAAAAAAAAATAGTATCTCTTTTTTTTTAACGAAAATTAACTAGGTAATACAGAACATTCAAAGTATCTCCCAATGATTATAGCACTGGGAAACCCATTCATAACATTTTGTCAAGAAAAAAGTGATAACATTATCTGAATGAGGTTTTGTTTATTTTGTTTTGAATGTTGCATAAAGTTAAATGAGAGCTATCGACACTAGCCATCCCTAATTAAGACAGGAAAGACTAGAGGGAAGGCTGCTAGTCATCACCACTCACCACCAATTCTTGGGCTACTCTTTTACCAATAAATAGAGGGATTGACCATCACATTATAAGGCCCCCATGGCTGCTAAGGCAAGCATGTTTGGTGGGACTAAGACTCGAATCCGAGACCCTCAGACTGGGAGTCAAACGCCCTAACCACCTGGCCATGCTGGGTCCCTGAATGAGGTGCTTATATACAGTACCAGGATAGAGGACACATTGACGTAGGTGGAGAGTATCACGACACAAATATCACTAAGAGCAATGAAGTGGGGTATAAAAGACTGGAGCAGGCAAGAAAAATCAGATCAATGCTTAGATGGGCAAGTAAAGAAACACTGGCAGTCGAGTAATAGCTATAAGTGTGAGGCGGAGTTAAGTATGTTTTGGAATATTGTTAATCTAACAGTGAGACATTTTAATATGAATGTGAATAAGTGAAAACAGAAAATATAATTTTAAATGAATAAGCTTTAATCTTAATTGTAAAAGTCAGAGAGTTGTTATTCTAATATATACTGTATAACATTTCTATTCATTCAAACCTGACTTCAGTGCAATATTCCTATGCTTGTTATCTTAAAGAATATTTTTAGCATTTCTGTTCATTTGAATCTGCCTTTCATGCAACAGTTCTACCTTTTAACTGTTGCTATTTGCTGCACTTACAATGAATTTTGGTTCAAATAAAAAAAAATTAATAAGAAAGTCCATACTTTTACACTTATTCCAGATTTTCCAAAATATGAATTTTTTACCTAAAAAAAGATAAACTCAATCCACAGAATTATACTACTGCATCACGACACTAGTCCTAAGGGAAAAAAGGTTAACTCATCATGTGGCTTGTAACTACTGTATTGATCCTAGTAACAAATATATATAGAGCACGGCCATTTCTACTTTATGAGAATCATAATGTTATACATATTATCAATTTTCCTCAATAAATAAAATTACATAAGGAAACACAATTTTCCAAAGTAACTATAATAATAATAAACCTGCAGCATAACCCTAATTTAAATTAACTAAACTATGACAATTCTAATTTTAAAGCAATTAGGTTTTTCTGTAGCTCCAGATAGTATATTCTATTAGAAGAAAATTTGAACCCCAATCAAAATTATGGAATAACTTGAAACAATTTTACATTCTTTCAAGATCACTGAAGGAAGAGAGTTAAGCTTATAAGAAGAGCTATTTAGTTCTTCAAAGAGTTATTACAGTTTGCTGTACACACACACACACATATATATACTAAAGTCTGTGATATATATTTCTATATCCAGATCTATAAGTGTGTGTGTGTATTTATTTATTTATTTATAAAGTATTAGATATTATTAATTGTTCAAGACTAACAGATTCTAAAGAGCCACTACTTTAAATCTAACTGAATGTGTTAAATGTACTCACCACATAATAACACTTATTCAAAAACCTTTATTGAAAAGACTAAAAGTCCTTACTTAAACATTTTACCACAAGACCATATTTAATTTTCATCATTTGAAATTTCACAGCAGAGGAAACAGATTTCATAATAGTCCATTGTCTCCAAATTTAAAGTACTCATTCTGTACATTTGCATTAATGTTTTTCTTTTGTTTCTATATGGGCCACAGGGGTATGTCTGCGGACTAACAACGCTAGAATCCAGGTTTTGATACCCATGGTGGGTAGAGCACAGATAGCCCATTGTGCAGCTTTGTGCTTAACTTCAAACAAATAAACTATATGGGCATCAAGAAACAAGTTTGCTGTTTATGTAGAAGATAAACCAAATTTTGTTAAGTTAGAATCATCTATAGTTTAGAAATCACAGACCTTGTCTAAATGGGCTTTTAGTTTTATTCCAATGCAACACACCTAAAAAACTGTATCTATTATTGTTTTGGTATAGTTCTTACTGTCACCAATGAACTGCATGAAATGTACACTTTTTCTGATATAATATTGTTACGACAGCGTAAGTCATGTGACGCTGGTAACACGTCATGAGCTTTTAGAAAATTCATGTCCCTTCGTGAAGCCTCGAGTGTTTACTAGTTGTTCGGTATTCTTGTATATAAGACCGCCAAGAACTGACGGCAACAATCGGAATTGAATTGCAGACAGAGATAGAGACGGACAATTGAGTCAAGCGCGTGAATCGTTCATTGTGAATTATAGTGTTTGTTATAGCGTCACTGTGGAGATTAAGTGTATTGCAAAGTTGAATTGAGAAAGAATAAACTAATTTTATTAAGAAAGGACTTGTATCGCTAAAGTTTCTTTGGAAAGAAATTTTACGGGAAATTAACAAACGAACAGAGACGTAACAATATAATAGTTAATTTTTTAAGCTAGTTTGACAATAACATTTAGATAAAGCCATAAAGTGAAATATCAGCTCTGAATATATTTCTAGAACTTATTATTGTTGATTACTATTGCTAAAATTTATTATCTTCAAACTCAGCATGTTAAAATAAAGATGGAATTAATTTTCTAAGTAAATTATTTATTCTTTTTTAGTGTAGATGACCAATTGCAAGTTAAGGTGACAGATAACGCTCTATCTCGTGATCTCTTTCCAAATGACTATCATTGTCTTGGAGATAATGAAAACCGACCAGTTAGATGGCTAGCTTTGGAAAGCTTACTAAGAAAGGAATTTTCAACAGCCAGTGATGTGGTAAGAAATCATGAAAAAATTAAGTTACTTTTTATATATATAGGTGTGTGGAGAGTTTCTCGAAAATTCAGATTATGTTACTAGCATTTATGTTGCTTCTTACACTCTAGAATCTTCTACAACTTTAGACAATAGGCGGGAGTTTCGCAATACATATTTAACAGTATACATTATTTACATTTCTAAATATAAATTTAATTTAAATAGACATCGATTAAAATAAATATAGAGTAATAAATCCATCACAGTCAAAAGCAACCAATCCATGGTATAGCAGGTCCCCATCCTCAAGCTGCATCATCATGAGATGGACAAACACTGGATTGAGGCCTAGGCTCTTCATAAGAGGGAGGTGGACCAACTGTGGTGGAGAACCCTGCTCAAAGAAGTATGCTGCTTGCAAACTAAGCTGGTAGATACAGTAAGAGCCATGACTGAAGTATGAGATACATCAAAGCACAAACTGTGGCTAAAATTCAGACAATTGTGATACTGAAGGATCTGGTCACAGGGATGAAGTAAGAGCAAAGAAGCTAGACCTTATGCTTCCTATTCGCTAAGTTTGTATATATTATATACTTTCAAACAATTGTGATACTGAAGGATCTGGTCACAGGGATGAAGTAAGAGCAAAGAAGCTAGACCTTATGCTTTCTATTCGCTAAGTTTAACTTTCCGTTAAAGGATTGAAATATTCTCTGTATCTCTGGTTTCCTTTTTATTTTGTTTTACATATGTATTTCACATGTTTAACTAGTCAGTTTATGAAATTATATTTGTACACTATGATAATACTTCTTAGCATTTTGTATGTACTGAAAGCTGTAAAGGATTTATTTCCTTGTATTTTTATAAATTTCAGGTGCTTTAAAACTGATTTTGCACTAATGTCAGACAATTTGCAATTTTCATCCTGTTTTCATTATAATACAGTCAAAGTTAAAAGGTTTATGTTGTGGTATTGTACATGGATTTCAGTATGTTTTGAGTATTTTTTTATGTTTTGGTTTAAAGTCAGATATTCCATTTTGTAAATTTTACTTTGTATATTATGTTATGTTAAATCATAATTGTAATTTAGGTACATATTTAGTAATGAATGTTAACAAGTAATTTATGTCATTGCAATGTTCAAGATATTTCTATAATATAACCAGTGAAATGTATTTCATTGTTAAACAGTTTATTATAACTTATATTTATCTATGTTAAAGGGCATTTTGATATTTTTATAATTAGGAATGTTTTGTTCTTTCTCTATTGTTTTAAACTTTCATTGTAAAATGTCAATATCCACACTCAGAAGAGCACTGACCTTAAATTTGATTGCAACTTTGACAAAGTGAGGCTGAATATTTCTATGAAGCAAATTGGAGGACAGAAAGTAACAAAAGATAAGTAATTAGTCAAGTAAAAATGAGCAGAAAGCAGAACAGAAATCTTAGTAATAAAATATGCTAGATAAACTTTATTGTGAGAAACTGGTGAATATATACTTAATTAGAAGTAAAGATAAATTTTCTCAAAGTGGTTGGCTCCATCATTCCAGGATAGGTGAACCAGTGAGAGTATTGAAATTCTTACAGAAAGCGATACAAAACTAGTCTTCTCACCAGTTTTAAACAGAAAAGATCATTGTAAAAAAAAACATAATATTTGCTTTTCTACAATACATAAGGCTGATAAGCAAAAATGGTGACTGTAACAGCAGGCAAAATTTATGTAGGAATGCTTTAACATTCTGCTCATCCCCTCAAAAAAAAAAAGTATATTAATGCCAAAACTAATTAATAGTAATCTATATTGCAATTCAGAAATGCCATACAAAACATTTAAGTTGATAAAAATCTGTTGGATAATATTTAGCGTAGAAAACCAGAAAATAAAGACTATACAGAGTTTTAAGTTAATGTTCTACTTGGTACATTCACACAAATAGAAAGTTTTTTTTAAGTGACAGAACTGTAGCTGTCAAGAAGGTTTGGAAATGAGATTTTGTGAGATGTTACTAAATTCATACATGGAGATTGCATGAGAAACACTTAAGACAGAATGGAGTAGTGATTATTATCCATCAAAAGACACAGTTGTAAAATACTTAGAAGTTTAAAACTTTTACAGAGGAGAGTAGATCCATTGTGTGCTAATTATGCAGGTTTACTGATATAAAATTAGGTAACTGTCACTTATTATGTTAATATATTAAAACGTTGAGAAATATTAAGCAAATTTTACCATCTCATGAGAAACATAACCCACCAAATATAACTTACACACAATTTCTTCCTGCTATGTCTCCATGGATGACTTTTTTCTTGTGAAGATACATAATTCCCTGTACTATTTGTATTGCCATTGCTACAAGATCCTGAGTAACCAAAGTCTAGAAAAATTATAAAAACTAGCATGTCAAACACACAAGTTGTTCAGTACAAATACTTTATAATAATAATAATGTGATCAATAAGTACCCTAACCATTCATGTATTTAACAATAATGGATACACACACACATACATATATACACATTTAATTGTTCATTATGATATAAACATATACTTCACTTTCTCTATTTAGTATAATAAAATTAAAAATTCACTAATTTAGATGTAACTTTTTTAAAGCAGCAACGTATTGCTAATCAATTAATTTTTGTCAGTTATAGAAGTAGAAAAATGTAATGTAGAATAAATAAGTAAATAATTATGTGACATATATTGTCCTATTATTATACTACAATTCCTTGTAGCATAGAAAAAATACAGTTTAGTTATTCATTGTTCTTTGACAAAATATAATCTCTTATTTATTATTTTATCTCTCATGTTTCTCAGTTACAAGTATAGTTCATGAGGTATCTTTAAAAGGGCATATTAAACTGGTATTCCAAGATGTTAATATAAAAACACTAAGAACTACCTACAAAATTATCAAATACTCTCATGATTACCAATTATAGCCATAAGATACTCAAGAACATGTGGAATGAGTGACATAAAAGAATCACACTCCAAACTGAACAGAAGATTTTGAAAAAAGTTCTAATAAACAAAACTTGTATTACTTGAAAATCGAAAATATTTTCTTGAAAAAAAAATTAGATGTCTCTTATAACAGTGACTCCAAAATTTATTAAACATAGTTGATATTATGAATATAAACATTGCAGAAATAGAATAACATAGAATTTCAATATACACAAATTGACTAAAATACATATGCTGCAAAATATACAATAAATAAAATTAGCAGAAAACAGTATAAGAAAGGTTCCCCATGAGAAACATCAGATAACTCTTAGCAGAAAACAGTATAAGAAAGGTTCCCCATGAGAAACATCAGATAACTCTTAGCAGAAAACAGTATAAGAAAGGATCCCCATGAGAAACATCAGATAACTCTTAGCAGAAAACAGTATAAGAAAGGTTCCCCATGAGAAACATCAGATAACTCTTAGCAGAAAACAGTATAAGAAAGGTTCCCCATGAGAAACATCAGATAACTCTTAGCAGAAAACAGTATAAGAAAGGTTCCCCATGAGAAACATCAGATAACTCTTAGCAGATATGAAGTCTGGAGACAGCTTGAATAGGTACTGAAGAAAACATTAGAAGTTTAACAAATATACAACATCTTTACAATGTTTTGTTGAACTTTATAATTTATAGGTTTAGATATTAGGAGTCTGTATATTCAACTAATCAACAACACACCAACCAAAAGACTTTCTTTAGACTGAAGTAATAAAAATGACTACCATAGAAAAGGTCATTTGTATAACTGCTAGCTCAACCAGCTATTAATCTCAACAAAAGGCAATTCTACAGTCCTCCTGAATTTGTTTGAGCAATACCACATTTTTTTATGGATACACTCAATTAAGCTGATTTTATAAAAACAGGACATGAAAGTACAAATGTTAATAAGTTGTAACGTGGTACATCATCCTTTTATCAGTTTATAGTACAGCAGTTGACCATCAATACAAATATCTTCATCAGTATGTAACAAATGCCTCAATAATATTTACATTTTTTATTTTTACTATTATATTTGTTGGTTTTTAGTTAACAAACCCTTTACAGGTACTTGTGAAAAGAATATATAATTGTAGAATTATACACGGACTTTTCTCCAAGTTAAAATACTTTTATTTCTGAACTTTTGGCCCTCTTTCCAGAATCTTCATTAGGCAACAATGTACTGAGCCTTCATTAGGCAACAATGTACTGAATGATAAAAATTCGTTTAACTGTGGAACACTGCTTTAAAATAGGTATCTAAGCAACAATCATAACAAAAACTGACATGTGTTATTAAAGTTATTACACATATTAATTGCTTCTATATAATAACCATATGTTAGGACTCTCTGAGCAAAGTACAGCATAGTAAAAGTACTCTTTAGAATGCATGGTTCAGCAGTTGATGTTAGATAGATATTAGCTGAAGTGTGTTATGAAACTTTTTATGTGTTTCTGTTCTTTGTATTGATAGAGTAAGATTGCTGATTGTGTATTGGTGTGACAGGTTGTGTTCTTTTGAAACATAATTTCTTTTCCCATACTCAAAATTGTCAGTTTGGGATAAAGAAATATAATACTTATCCTATTATTGGATTTACCCTGAATAATCACAAACAAAAGAACAAGCCCAACTTCGTGTACTGTTGACTGCAGGTTATTTATGTTTAGTAATAGGCATTTCAAATGTACACCTTACAAACGTATTTTTGTATTTAATTACCTGACATTCATTTTTGAAGATGAACTGACCTGTGAGTCTGGTAAATTGAAACTTTACATTTTGCGGTGGTATTACTTCATTTTTTGTTGAAATATAATTAGGTTTATATTTTATATATCTTTTCTTTGTTGTTTAATTGAGCTGTCTTATTCCAGCTACCTTACACCTCATTAGAATTAATGGTAACATTATTCTAATAGTGAGACAAAATGACAGACACTAGGTGACACTGAGGTCTTTGCCACAGTAACTTATATGTAAGTATGTCACTGTATTTAAATAAGTTGATCAAATTTTTTGTCAATAGCTAATAACTGTTCTGTGTTGAATTGTAATCGTATCTTTGGATAATAAATGGGAACTAATAAGCCAACTCAAGAATGTGGTGTTTCAATTGAATATTGCTAAAAACATGGTTAGAGTTTGAAAGTATTGAGTTATTAAGTAGATTTTGTGATAATTTACAAATAAATTAGGTGTTTTCTAACTTCTTGTGTTATATTGTTGTAGTCAAACTAATTGTGTTGTTTGTAAAAGCTGGAGCAATGTTTTCACATGTTGAATACATTATATTGAATTTGTGAAGGTTCTAATAATAAATACTCTTTTTTTTTTAAGAATCCTGTTACCAATGTCTTGATCATTTTTAGTGCAGATTTGTTTCATGTTTGACCTTAAATGATATAAGTTTTATGTATTTTCAGTTTAAGAATTTTATAACATACATATCCAAAGTTTCAGTACCTCATATTTTCAATAACGTGCATTTTGGCCAGCAATTTGTACATTTAGATAAAAGGTAAAGTTTGTTACATTCTCACTATGAGGAACTGTATGTTCAAATATACTCTTGACTTATTGTAAAAAATCTACATACACAGAAGCTCTACATAATATATAATTACACGTCTATAGAAAAAAAAGCTGAAGTTGACTCCATGATTAAACTGTAAGGCCATATAAACATACTCAGACTACCATCTTAATGATCAAGAAATTGGTTAGAGCTATATAGAAATTATATAACTATTATTTATCTCCAAATTTCACGAAATAAAATTCTCAGTAAAATGTCATTAGTTATTTATCTTTCATAATAATAGATACGGTTTGCATGCCTTAAAAAAAACACATAGTGTAGTAATGTTTATATTTTCAATATTAAATTTGTTGGTTGTTAGTTAGCAAACCCTTTACATATATTTGTGAAAAATATAAATCTTTGAAGAATTATATATGGACTTTTCTCTATGTTAACATACTTTTATTTGTGAGCTTTTGGGCCTTTTACCAGACCCTTCATTTGTAACAATAATAAACTTACGTGACAATGCCCCTCAGCTGAAAATTGACATTTGTGAAGAAAACGTTTCAGATTGCCTTGGTTCATGTATGGATAAATCAGCAGAGGCCGTTGAGGGTTATCCATACACACACCAATTACAGGTAGAACATTTTTATGAATAAAAGAAAACATCTTCATTCCTTCTCCAAGTAGTAGTGAAATTTGAACCTGAGAGGCTTGATCTGAAAACCAAAAAAAGCATTCATAATAATACCAAACTATATTTAAAATATCTCTAAAATTTGTAAAGCAGTTAATTAATTAAATGAATAGTTAAGACTTTAAAAGAACAGTTCAATATACATAGACTTTTTCAAATTATTATCAATTTTATTAAGCTTCTAAACATAATTGTGAAAAAAAAAAGCAAATATACAATTATCTTGAGATATCAGTACCTCTTTTTGAGTATGTACATTATTTCACATAGTTCTATTCCAAACGTTAGTTTTACAGGTGATGGTGTTTGCTTTTAATATGGCCATTCATAAATGGCTTTTTAAACACATTTTTCTGAACTGTTTATGGGTTACAGAGAATCTAATAAGTCATGAGTTACATTAAACAGAAATACCATAAATATTGGAACTAATCCCAATAATCATACTGCTGGGGGTTTCTATGTATTTATAAAGAAAAAAATTAGTTATTCCACCCAATTTATTTGGTCAGGATGTTCTTTCGAGTGAGTTTTAATTGTAACAAGCAAAAACATAACATTGTTAAATACAATATGTGGATTCCACCAGTAGTGACTGGTATATAACAAGTTGGTTGTTTGAGAGTTAGTGCTTACCCAAAAGATACTGACAAAAACTGGAAACGTTTTCATACAGTGGAAAAGCACTTTTCATGAAATGACAATTTAATTCTGTTAGTAGGAAAATGACATATATGTTTAAGTTATTACTGGCTGCTGAGTAACCTCTTAAGAAGAGATCATTAATTTATATACATAATTTATCATAATATGTCCAAATGAAAGACAAAGAACTGTTCATAGCAATGTCTAGCGATCATTGTTCTCATGATCAACAGAGGTAAACTATCAGAAAATGTCACACATATTTAGTTGCACTTTACTTATGCAATCAACAAATAAGAAATTTTCTATTGTGAGTGTTAAGTTGTACAGCATTAAAGCATCTCACAGATTGTGAGATCACACATAATCAAGGATAGCTAAATAAACACATATTTTAGGAAAATAGAGAATAAAACATTGTAAGGTAATTTCAAAGTTAAAGCTACCAGTTATAACTGAAAGCATCAAACTGCTTTCACAGTACACATTCTCTTTGTTGATAACCAGTCAGCAAATAGGTACCACAATTCTGAAATATCTCTGCTTCATGTAACAGTCATAAAGTAAAGCAAAATGTAATGCAGTGAAACAGCAGATAAGTTCATTGACTGGAAATCCTAAGAAAATAACACATCAGGCTACATTTAGCACATGATTTCAACCTGATTTAACATGTTCTATATTAGAGCTTAGAAAATTTTAAGACTTTTATAGATATGATATATAATCTCAGGGAAAATGATCGAGATACAGCGTATCTTTTTATACAGTACATTTGTTTAATAACATAACAACATTTTAACTTAAAATCAGATTCATTCGTTATAAGATATGAAAAATAAAAAAATTATAACATTTACTTGAGAAATTGGGGTTGAGACCAGGATATAAATAGAAAGTAAATCACTGGAGGAACCTATAACAATGTAACAACTAAGATAGGTAGGCCGGGGGCAGAAAAGAGCATCATTCTTGATATTAGTTTTATTATTCAGTTATTGAAGTAAAATACATACAATGGACTCTTCTTATAATTCATATTTAGCCATAACACTTCATTATATGCAGAGTTCACTAACTAAAAAATGCTTGACTTGCATTTTTTTGACATTTTTTGTAATGTCATACATATTAAAGCATTGTCGTCTATTAAAGTGATTTTTCTCTAATTTTTATATTCCAAGTTTGTTAAATTGCTTCCATGTACCTAACAATAACTGATGAAATGTTTACATTGTACAATGGATGGTTAAATGAATTCAAGGAGAGCTTGAGGCAATGAGTTGAATATAGTAAGTCCTGAATCACAAAGATCAACAATGCAGTACACAAAATCAAATAGTGCACGTGTTTGCAGTTTCAAAGTTGGATGTTCTGGGTACAGTTACATTATTGCCAGAGTGTAATTTGTTTACAAATAAGTGCCAAAATGAAATTTGAGCCATCCTAATTTTTTACCCCCTAATGGTGTTCCATTTGTGGTGATATGAATGATTTATCCTTCCATGATTAATGTAAGATATATCTTTGTTCACGTAAATGAGCTTGTACAGGAAAAGATGGATGAGTTGAGGATTTTTATCTGGAATAATTGTTGATGTATGTTAACTAAGAACTGAAGGATACTGGATTAATAATTTGACTCAGAAGTAGGTAATATACATGATTCTGGATCTCTTTTGGTTCATATCTTCATCTTATTCAAACATGAGAAATTTTGCTCTCCTTCCCCAGAAGCCATTAGTAATTTTACAGTGAAATAAGGTGCCAGCTAATAAGCTGAAACTTACATTATATGAATAAAGATTCTGTTTTATTTTTTTACATATACATTTATATTTCCTATAATGCATAATGTTTTTGGAACCTTCATTTCATAGGTCTTGATATTTTTTTTCTAGATATTAGTGTACCTAAAAACTACACAGTGTGTTTATTTAATTTTCTCTGCTGGTTGAAACTATTTTTAATCTTCAATATTCATTTCATTTGGTTATGTTACAACAACAACTTTTAAAAGCACATCAACAAATTATCATTTAGAATAATTCTGACTAAATTCCACGTTAAACATCAACCTTTTTTAATTGATACTTTCAATAAGCAAAAACAAAATAACAATAAAGGTGCATTTATCAAACAATAAAAAAGTCACATATTTTGGTCTTCAAAAATTATTGAAAATTAATTATAACCTCATATATATGACAGAGGGTTGAGTAGGCTATATTAAAATGACTCTGAAGTCTCACTATACTTTACAGTCCATGTTGCAACATCTGCTCATGCTCTATCTGATGATCATGCATCTTCACAATAGCTCTGCAGCATAATTTCTATTGCAAGGCTCTGTTATAAGGCTGCCATGTCTAAAGCACACCAATTCTCCCTGCTGGATTTCCATAATCCTGCTAGTTTACAAGAAAGTTTCAAGTGCCCACTTGAAAAGTCTGAATTCACAGAAATTCATAGATCCTGAGTGCACTGACTTGACTGGTACATGTCTTCATATGGAAATATCATTTCATTTTCCAGTTGCTTGAGGTATGTTACAGTTGAACAAGAGGAGTGATTGTAAACTTTATCTTGATAAACATATCCTATTGGTCTCATTTTCAGATAGAGATTATTCTTGATTATATTGCATACTATTGCCTGGAGCACTTCGAGAGCTTTTGCCACTGAACTTTGTGTTCGCAGATTCTCTCCTGCTACAGGAAGCCACACTCTACTTACTATTCTTAGAGTATGACTTGTTGCAAGTCGCTTTCTGGATGGTCCTGGTGCTCCAAATTGATCCAACTTCTTTTAGTTTTAGTGTCATTAAATACAGGGATAACCTTGTTTTTAAAATTATAAATCCCTCATCCGAACACATCTTTATGATAATAGTGTATGTATATTTTGCATCAGAAATACCCATTATATTCAGTTTCCAAAAGCAATCAGTTTAAGTTGATGTCACAGTACCTATAGAATGGCAATTGAAATCAAAATATAATTCTAATACATATCACTCCACTATGACTTTATATGGTCCATATTTATCACATGACTTATTTACTTGCAGAGTCAAAATCATTTTAGTATAAGGTACTTAACCCTGTAACAATCAGTAGTTTGTTCCTCAGAAATGACTAAACTAGTAAAAATACAAGGCTTGTCAGTATTAAACATTTATCACTGAACTGATTGTATGGTTTTGTAAGTGAAACAATATTGATATCATTTTAGTCACTTGCACATAGTGTAAATGCATACCTGACACTGTCTTAACAAAGACATCCTGTACATCGCTAACATCATTTTCATCCTCTATGAACATCCCATGATATATTTGACCAAAAGTACCTACAACCAAAACAAAAATATATATCTGGTTATAAACAACTGATGACAGAGTTTTCTGTTGATAATTTTAAAATGGTAACAGTACCAATATTGTTTTTTAAACATAACTGTTAATTTTAATGAAAATAATTTTTTTTCTGTATTAGTTTATTAAATTCAGATAAAATGTTACACTGCAGGCTTTTTTTTTGCACAGTTGTTTTTGAAACACTAACTTATTTGTTGAATAAAATACTTTTGTTTGAGTTGAACTGTTGTCATTTACTTTAGTTAGATAAAATACAGTTAAAAGTTGTACTCAAAATGTACATCTGTCACAAATGTAAGTTTGTGGTGCCAGTTCTGTCTCCATTTAAAACAAAAATGTGCAAAAAAGTTACTGACATCGAAACATTTTTTTTAAAGATGACATAGACACAATCCAATAACCTGTACTTATTATTGTTATGTTTTGTGTCTTTTTTTTTAACATACAAGACTTGTTCACCAGTATTCTAGTCGAAAAATCTACAGCCATTACCTAACAGCAACAGAAATAAGAAAAATAGATCTTTCGTTTCCCACATCATGCCTTCCACTGAATATATTTTGTACCAACCAACAATACTTCTTTCTAAGTACAAGATTAATTTTTGAAAAATCAATCTTAAAAAAACTCAAAAATCAATCTTACTGTGTATTAACTCATCTCTCCTATTCTCTGTAAAATCTACTTGGGGAATTTTTAAAATCTGTGGTTAACAATCCTATGTAATGAGAGGCTCAAAGACTTAGTTGTATGAAAAGTTACTGTGAGAATAAGTAAAGAAGAAAAGAAACAAACAATTTTCATAAACACGACTAAGTACTGTTAATTTTGCATTGATAAATTATCTTGCATATCTTCCAAGTTAAGACATTTAAATTAAAGTAAAATAAAACTAATAAACTCAGTGATGAAACTAAAATAAGCTTGGAAGAAAAACCGAGATTAAAATTTGGCAACACAGGACTGGTAAATACTATACAAAAACACATTTTACAGTAGGTCTTGGCTCTTTCAATACAGAAGATAATATTCATGAATGCTCCAAAACTTATCTCACAATTCACATTCTCTCTCTGTAGCTGACCAATCATAAATAGGATTGCAAGAACCTGGAAATACTTTTAGAGTTGTCCGACATACACAAGATAAACAGTAGATAGTTCCCATAATGGGATCCTCTACAGATAGTTACACAAAAGCTAGATTTAATTAGCACATAACCTTGAACAGATTTAGTGTGTTCCAAACTACAGATATTCTTATATCTTAACTCAGGGAATCACAACATCAAGTTCACCAAACTAGCCCTTTGACCTTTGATTTATTTTTCAGTTTTGCCCTCACCCTAGAGAAACTTGTGTTCTCTGTTCATGTCTAAACTACATGAAGAAAAACATATTTCTAGGATTACCATTTCGTTGTATATGATAAATATTCATTTGACAACATATTAAATGATTTCTTGACATGCATAAATGTAAAGAAATGTGTCATATCATGGTTACTTTGCAAGACAATGGATTAAAGCAAAACTTTTTAAAGACCCTCAACAAAGTTATTTTAGGTGTTGGCACCAGCGTGAATATTTAGTTTTCTAAAGGGTTAGTAATACTTTTCTATGTAGTTGTGAAGAATATAACATTTAATATAACATTCAAGAAACTAAATACCTTCTTGTAATTTTTCATGTAAAGATATTTTCCTCCTTTCAACAACAATTTCACTAATCTTTTCTGTGAGTTCGGAAGCTCGAAGATCATTGACGTGAACAGCAAGGGCAATAGGAGTAAGACGTCGATAACTTCCATAACCTATAGAAGTAAAGTTTAAGTAAGTTCTTCAGTAGAACAACATCAGTTCCAACAATAATGTAAAGATATTGTGTTTTTTACAATTAGTGTTATCTACATAAAAAACATATTGTGAACTAAGTTATACAAAATAAATCACTTGAAAAATCAGTGTCAACATATGTAAACACAGTGCAAGTAAAATAATAAAAAAAGTTAAAAAAGGACCTCATATAAAAAGTTTAGGCACTACTTGATGAAGCTTCTTTGCCAGAAACTTTGTAATAGTTTGGTAATAAACTTGCTATGGTTTACATCTGCAGTTGTTAATTTTGACAAGTAGCATTATTTTAAAGTAAATTATAGCCTACTATTAAAACATGAAAACAAAACAGTTTAGAATACGGGCTGTGTATACCTTACTTCTAATTGCCTGTTGTCTACTTTTTTTTAAACTGCTGGATGCAATACTAAAGTATAACGTATACTGGTGTACTAGATAGTTTATAGAAAGCAGCATTATGTTTTGTGATACAACTGACTCACATCATTACCCTCATGGGTACATCTATTATTGAGAACCTCTGATCATGTATGAAAGTTTACATTAATATTTTGCTAAATACATTAGTGAACTGTTATTATTCAAGTTTATATTGTTCAGATGCTATCAAACAGAGAATTTCTGTATTTTTCTATTCATAATCTTCTCTTTGCACTGCAATCCTTTTAACTTTAACTTCATCGAATTATGTGGTTCTCTTCCCTAGAAAGTCAGATTTGTTTAGTTACCAATTAAACATTGAGTCATAACAAAATAGTCATAGAAAATCAATACACATATAGTATGTATGTGTGGTATTTTAAGGTTCATCAATTTACCTTTGAATAATTGTGCAAGAACCACAGAATAATGGGAGAATCACCAGAAAATGTAGTGCAAAATGAAAATTTCAGCTCTCTGATCTCGACTGAGTTAGAAGCCAAGAAAGAAGCTGAATACAATGTAACATACAATAAAAACAATCTTTATTCAATGCATTTAAACAAAGAAATTAGACCTCAAGAGCACTCTAATGTATCTCAAACCTATCTGTAAGTCTGTTCAAAATCTTTTTCTCTCTCTCTAAGTCATCATACTCTTTATACTAAGGAAAAAAAGCTGAACTAGATTCAGAAAACATGATATTATGTACTAAAATAAAACAATGGCATTCTCAATTCTCAGGGTGAAAGCACTATCCATGTGATGTCACACTCACTAAAATATAAGGCATGTTGTATCCTTAAGGCATCACCTAACCCATCAATGGGAACAATCACTGTCTATTTCTACACAGATGATGTTAAATGATCTAGTTCAGTGGAGTGAGAAGAACTCGGTAGTTCCAATCACTGATTGTCTATATTAGCACTATGAATATGTGCTGAAACATTTTATAATATACACAGGGATAGGAAATACATAGTATGCCTGCATATCACATTGGCATACACAATGTTTAGCATTCCTTTTTTTCCCTTCTCTAGTTTAGACAACTGATGAACATTTCTCTTAGTCAAGAATGTTCACAACATTTCATAAATATGCATGTTTTGGTGCACGTACAGAGTTCCATAAAGAACTGGCTATGAAACCCAAATAAACTGCCATTTTAATTACATGTTGTTCCGTGTCATTAACCTTTGATGTATCACATACTCTTGGCAGAAAGACTGTTGTAATATATACCTAGTTGGAATCAATACACTGTGAAAATGTTGGCAGTGATCTTAACCACTGGTGAATGTTGTGATACCCCTTGAAAATATAATCCCCCTGTTTATTTTGGGAGAAGTAATGCTGTTGTATTTTCTATATTGTTGTTTTACTCCCACAGTCTCATTCAGGTTGATTTCAGCTCTTCATTTGGAACATCTAGTGATAGCGTGCCCCAATTATGGGGACAAAACTGTCCTTATAAGTACACAGTATAGCTTGCCCCAATTATAGGGACAAAACTGTCCTTATAAGTACACAGTATAGCTTGCCCCAATTATGGGGACAAAACTGTCCTTATAAGTACACAGTATAGCTTGCCCCAATTATGGGGACAAAACTGTCCTTATAAGTACACAGTATATCTTTGATTGTTTTTAATTCAATAAATATTACTTTCACTTTCTTTTTTCATTGTGGTTGTGGTCTCGTTCTTCAATTCAGTTTGAATCAGAAATTTCCATATAAAATGTCTTCCATTCCTTCTGCTACTGCAATTACTATTCTTTGGACATGTTTAGACATGTTAGACATGTTTGGACATGTTATTCCATGTCAAAAACATATTTCGTATTCCTGTACTTTGGCGAATGCTTTAGTATTTACTAGATATAGGGTAGTCGGGTATATAAAAGAGGGGGACAACGTGACGCGGTAATGTGTGTATAGACAGTGAGTAATTGAACTGCAGTCAGAGAGCACGAGAGACGTTACAGCGTTTGTTTAGCGCGATTGTTGAAGTTGAGTGTATCGGTAAAGTTGTATTCAGAGAGCACGAGAGACGTTACAGCGTTTGTTTAGCGCGATTGTTGAAGTTGAGTGTATCGGTAAAGTTGTATTCAGAGAGCACGAGAGACGTTACAGCGTTTGTTTAGCGCGATTGTTGAAGTTGAGTGTA